TTCCGAGGTTCCTATCCAAAATTCGTGTCCCATTAAAACATTTCACTGACGAACACGTGCCTCTGCACAGAGTGACCCCGCTGTGGCAGCCGCGTTGCCGCTTCAGAACGTCAGCTGCCCAGACGTTGCGTAGTAGCCAGAGGCGTCTGAGGAGAACCTCTGGGAAAGACGCACCGAGTCCAGCTGCACCTCTCCAAAGTAGAAGTTCCCAAAGAGCTGAAAGAGAGGAGAAAAAAAAAACACTTGAGGGGCACCCAGAGACATGCAGCCTGCAGCTGGCCCAGGGATCGCTCACAAGAGCTGGCCCTGCAAAACCCCTCTACTCACAGACCTGTTTTGCCTTTAATTAAACTATTATTTAAATTATTGCCCCCTCTAAAGATTGCATTTAGCCTTTAAAGAAATCAAGGTATGAAATGAACACCTCTTATCTAGAACAACAGTTGCTCACACCTTCCCTACCTTGCTTTCTGACTGTGCCTCATTTAGGGGGCTTGGGGAAGCTGCTGACTAGCCTGAAGACCACCACCCCAGGATGGCTCTTGAGGTCACAGGCTCTGCAGGAGCAGGGATTGAGGCCAGGACATTTTTACAAGGCCACAGGATGTATGACTTAACAGTTATGGCTCAGTCCTAATTCAAGCTAGCAGGCTAGAGGTGCAAGGTTCTCCATCCCAGCACTGACCCTGCTTTGTTCAACAAATCCTTCTTTGTTCAGCAAAGACTTGAGTGCAAATTACTGAAAGCAAGCCAACTCTGGGACCCAGAGGCGTGTCTCTGCTGATTAATCCAGTCTATGAAGCAGACCAAAAAAAAAAAGACATCAGAATTTCTTACAGGGAAGTTCAGCAATACTGCTAGAAAGGTACCGTGTCCAAGCATAAAGCGCTCCTCCCATTCCACTAAGACACAGGAAATTGCTCCACCTGGAAATATCAGTTGTGCCTTAGGAAAAGCTTTTCCGTGAAGATGCTAATTTCAAAACTTCACTTAACAGGAGCACTGTGAGAGCCTGAGCAGTGACATGTCCCCTCTGCTGAGATCTCTGAAATGTCCAGTCCATCTGTCTCCTATTGAATTTTCTATCTGTCCCTGCAGGCGTCGGCTCAAGACAGTCTCACACCCCTTCCTGCTATTACAGAAGGCACAAACGCTAAGGCTGACAGCCAGCAAAAGCCAATGCATTAATTACAACATGTCCTCCTAGAGCCAACGGTGCATCAATTCCTCCATACAGCAAATGACTGAAACCCCAAATACCTAGTTAGCATCTGAAAGGCTGTACTTCACTTCCTCCAAAAAGGCATTTGGCTTGCCTGATGCTGATTTGGGCACAAGTGCTCTTTTGTTGGTTCTCCCAAGGGTACTGTATTTTGCAAATACCTCTTCTTTCACAAGGGGACCAGCTAGACTTCTTTCAGGACAATTCCTGGTTTCAGTGTCACTCCTCCACAAAGGAAAAGTGCCTTAGGGAAAGTGATTCCTTGCCCTTCTTCAAGACAGAGCAAGCAGGACTTTGGCCACGGAGCACCACTAAGGTAAGTGGGCCACAGACCAGACATCAGGCATCAGGATGAATCCAGCCCCTGCTCCAGACTGCCAGCATGTCCAGACTGCTCCCCATTCAGGGTTTGGCTGAGGCCAGCAATTCCTCATCGACACACGACAGTCAGAATGCCATCTCTGAAGACAAGGGGTATTTATGCGTGCCAAGCCAGCTCTCAGCAACTGCCAAGTCCCTGCTTCAGTTTGAAACGGCTGCAGCTGCAGTCAGACGTGTTGCAGAGTGCTTGCTGCCAGCAGCCCACCTGCCAGGGACCACCTCCTCCTCCCTGGACCTGCCTGTGTGGCAGCACAGGCAGTCGACCACCAACTGCTTCTGCAAAAAGCCTCTGGGTTAGCACAAACGCTGCAAAGAACTGGGCTCCTCTGCACTGGAACATTTAGTCACAGCGTGCCTGATGAGGAGAGGTGGTGGAAAGCTTCTAGCTCACCTGCACCTCCCCGTAGCTCAACCTGCCTTTGGGGTGACACCTGTCCCCTAAGACTGTGGCACAAGGACTTGGTTTGCACAGGGCCCGAAGTACACCACTCATCACTCAGACTCATATTAAGCTGCAACTCACTGCCAGTTCTTCCAAGAGAAGGAAGGCAGGAGCCAGGCACCTGCCACAGAGGTCACATGGGTCCCTGTCCCAGCATGAGGCCTCACTGCAGCAGCCAGGCTTCAAGCACTGTGTATGCAGCTCCATGCAGCCACTGCCCTAAAGCAGGGCACCCTGTTGAAAGAAGTTGTACTAACGGAGCATCCCAAACAGGGAGAGGAGGAAAAGAGAGAAGAGAAATTACTACAGCCATACAAACTCCATTTGATACAATTAAAGATTTATACAATTAAAGATTAATTATGCTCCCAAAAGCCTGCGTAGTTCATGTTAGATGACTTAGGATAAAATGTCTCATTAATAAGAGATGGTAGTAAAAAGGCGGGGGGATTGGTCTCCCTTCTCTTTTTGTTTTGGCTGATCTCAGAAGGATGATTTCCAGCTCTTGAGGGCTTGCTTCAGTGCTTGCTGCCAGCATGCCCACCCACCCCAAACCTTAACACCTGTCTGTGTCAAATTGACACTCCTTTCCCTCACAGAGCATTCTCCATCCAAGAAAAAGGGAAACCATTTCTCCCCACTCCTAACAGAGGGAGCGGTAGGTGCTCTGGTAAGCAAGGAGATACTAGAATTTGAAAAGGATTTTTTTTTTTTTTTTTTTAAGAAAAGGGAGATGAGACACATTTATTTCGGTAGAATGAAGTCTTTGCAAACATGAAGAAAACAGCAAAATGCTGGGATGCGCCTGTGCCATCAGCAGCCCTGGAAGTCAAACCTTTATACAAGAACAGCCAAAGGAAGAGTCTTTCAAATACTTGTTTATACTATTGCTGCACACCACAACCTGTTTTTCTTACAAAACACATGTACTTCTATGATTGTACTTCAAAGCAAAAATTACTTAATAAGACAAACCCTCCCCCCAACCCCTCTTGCCTTGCACAGCCTCAGTCCCAGAAGACACTGCCCAGGTCAAGGGCGCTCCATCTGTACACTGCTGAAAGTGAACCAAAACCCTTGTACAAAAGCATTTCATACTCCCTTGGCTTTTTTAAGACCCACGACCTCTCATGTGTCCAAGCGTGTGTGTGTTTCCCAGGGAGAATGCTGCTAGAACTATTGATTTTTTGTAATGTAGCTGTACTTTCTGAGAGTAAACATGCTACAAGATTTAGAGGACAACCACAGACATTTTTTTTTGCTCTCTTTTCAAGCTGGCTTCTCACTGATATTTCTTTGCTCCCTGAGGCTTTCCATAACAGAAGCCACTGGACACAAGGTTTGGGGATTACAGCTGAGCCACTGTATGGCCAAGATCTGCCTTAGCCAATGGGGAGAGAGACCCCTCGAACATCATCCTCTGAGACCCCCAAAACACCAGGAGCTGGCTTCCCGTCATGAAAGCATGCCACACTCGGGTCCCCGGGGGCTTGGGAAACGATTTCAGAAGGCCAAGACTCTACTTTCGACTTTCACTTCTATTTATCTTGGGGAGAAGCCAAGCAGAGCTGAGAAAGATATTTATATCTCCCCCCTTTCCCCAGCCACCACGGAAACGCTCTGGTTTCGGAGGAGGCCTGTAGCACTGCTGATGAAATGCCTCCAATAAACGCATTTTAGCATTTTTTTATTCTGGGCCAGGACAGAAGATACCTGGAGGTTGTTACGCTTCACGCACAAATGCTGACAACCCTAACACTTGCCTCGTCTCCCTCCTGTCCCTTCCCATGGGTGCCAAGGCCCCACCTTTCCCCAAAAAGGCTGCAAAGAGCAAGAGGAGGCACAGATCAGGAGCAGCGAGGAGGGAGGTGGGGGGAGGAAAACGCAATCGCCAGCATGGTTACCGAAAGCCATGTCATTTGATTGGAGTGGGACGTGAGGCTCAGCAAAAGCACAGTAATTCTATAAATCCAAAACCACTGAAGGATTTACGTCCCCGCTGCTTAAAGAATGGGGTAGGGGGTTGGGATTTTTTATTTATTTTTTTTAACATTATAAATGAAAATGAACCTGATGGAGGTAAAGGTCAGCTTACGAAGCCAACACCACACATGCCGTGCAAGCTACTAACTTTCATCAAGGGAATAGCACTTACTAGACTAAGTGCCCTCTGTCTCCCAGCTGCTTTCCCAAATTAAATTAGAAACGAATAAGGAAAGAGCATTGTTAACTTTTAACCCCAAGCCAAGCAACTCTAAGCAAACGTGCCAGAGATGTGCCCTGTTTTTCAAACCACAGCCAAAGGCTCAGAAACTGCACAGCAAGGATGCCTAGAAGGACAGAGCATCTCCCACAGGAAGGAACTGGGTGCCTAGAGAGCAGCACAGCATCCTCCTAAGAGTGGCATCCCAGGACATGCGGGGGATGGCAGGGATTGCTGGTGTGCCGCCTCCCCTGAAAGCTGTGACCCCTGAGAGAGGGAGTGTACTGGTGCATGGGTAACCCATAGTTCACATGTCAGCCTGCAAACTACTGCGGGCCCACATGTGCAAGTGCTCCTCCTTCTCTCTGTGCCTTCTGGGGGGTTGGGTCCAAGGACACAACTGCGCAGGTAATGATGAAAGGCAGGCAGCCCTGCGGTAGCTCCCAGAAAGCAAGTTTTTCTCTATTTCTCCCCCAAAGTCATTTATTCTGAGCCATGAAAAGCCAGCAGCACACCTGTCATTTCTAACACCCCAGTTTCTCTCATTTAAGACAATTCTGTTCAGATGTTGGAAACTCTTCTTCCTCTGAGGTCTGTTCCCTCTGTTACCTACAAATTACACAGTAAGGTCTCCCCTGGGGTGCAGCAATCATTTTCTGAAGGAAGACAGAGGCTGAAGACTTATTATGGGATAGAAAGAATACACATATCAAACCAATAGCTCCTTGCAAACCTGAGCCAAAAATGCTAGTACAAACTTCAGCCCCCAAACCACAACTTCCTTATCAAAGGCAGAGAAATGGATCAAACCCAGGATGCATCTTTTATACATTTCTCCCCCTTTTGCTTAAGCCTGTAAATTAAGTTTTACCAAAACACTGTAGAAACAAATGCAAAGGAGGACGATTCCTCAATGAAGCAGCTAAAAAGTGTGTCTAAATGATGTTGTGTTCCCGAGCGCGGGTATT